ATACCCATAAGACAAACTTGGTCAAAGTCAATTTGGTCAAATCAACTAAGTTAACCGAGTTAACTCATCCAAGTCCACCCAGCCGAGTCAACTCAGTCGAGTCAAATCAGTCGAGTCGACATAGTGAGCGGACGCGGGGCATAATCCCAATGTATGTTGGGCGTACCTGAGCATTGACCACCATCGGGGTGGTTAACCACGTACGCGATGCGTACTCTAGGTACGCGGGATGTACTCCCAAAATTCCCAAACTCATCATTACGAGCTTAATGGTTTAAGCTGTCACGTCCATCTTTTAGATCCATAGCTAAATTACCCTCAAGAGTCATAAGTTTCCAATTTTATGACTTTGGATGCCCATTAAGTGCTTAAACTCGACTTCTCAATCCATTAAGACATTCTAAACGATGCATGGAAAAAACCAACCACTTGGAACCCATTTTTATGACTCAAGACCCTCCCTAAGGTCTGAAAGGATGGCTTAATGGGTCTATAACAGTTCACACTCAAGAATCACCATTTTGGGACCAAATAGTGACTTAAAAGAGTAAGAATCTAGATCTAAAAGATGGAGAGGTAAAGTTGCAAGCCTTATACCTTCAAGGTGTTGCAAACAAGGTAGAAATCCCAGATCCAAAGTGCTCTCAACTGCAAGATGTTCTCACCACCTTCTTCTTTTTCAAAACTACTTCAAAACTCTCCTAAAGGCTAAAAAATGGCTATCTTGATCTTAGGGTTGCTTGGGGGTTGATGTCTCAGAAGGAAGCTGGATAAGAAGAAGATATGAGACCTTAAGGATACTTAAATATGAGCAAAAACCCTAAAAATTAGGGTTTTCATGTTGTCCACATACGCCCTGCGTATGAGGTACACGCCCAATGTACTAAGGCGCGCCCTAGTACGCTTAGCGTAGTATACACAACGTACTCCTTCCTTCCCACATTTTACCAAAATAGCACTATGGGACCTTTTGCACTCTTTCATAACGTTGGGACCAAAATGCAATATAACTCAACTATAAGATCAAAATTAGAAGTACCTCATCATTGGGATGTTACAAATCAAAATCTTGCAATTCAAACGACATCCTCTTAATATACCGACCATCATTCATACTCAACATCAAGTCAGTATACCATGTCACTACACCTATAACATCTACAAAAAGAAACACCACAAAAAAGAAATGTCGGGACAAACAACAAAAGCATAAGAGCAAGCATGTCTTCGATAACAATTTAAACCAATATCTCTAAACTTGACGAAACAAAAAGAACTCAAACCACGAGGAAGCCATATGTCATGGCCTCAACAACAAGATATGCTGTTTTGAAAGTCGTCGCGTCAAATGTTTTGAGGAGCGGGGTTTCACAACGAGATATGCTATTTTGAAAGTTGCCGCGTGCAAATTGGCAAAACATAAGAATGCATGCATTGAATATCAACATGGTTAATAACTTTCATATTTGATATATTTGGTTTTCTCGTACCAGAGACGATGAAACTCCTCAATAGAGTAACGAGTCATGCATACTACTGTTAAAATTCATTGATCCACAAATATTGTTTTTTTTTTTAATTATTTTTTTTATCCAGAAAGAACTGGTCACACAACTTGTTGCTTGTTGCCTTCTGTCGATATGCATTGATTTTTTATTAGTGTTCATGGATATATTAATATATTGAGTTACCTGCAACAAAAATAGATTTTAATAAACAAAATATTATTATACCTTTTAGCCTAATAGTTAATACAATGCTAATATACAAAAAGTTTTTGATTATTGTTTTTATAATTATGAAACATAATAAAATTTTACAATTTTTTTTGAACGGCATTTTTACGCTTAACATGTGTTCTAATCTATTTACATCGACCACTGCCTCGCATGGCACCTTGGTGTTAGAATGATTTATAATATATTTCAATTTCCGTAGAAAAGAGTGAAGTCAAAGGTGCGAAAGTGAACTTTTTCAAAATCCGAAGGGCAATAAAAAGAAAATGAAAAAGGTTTTTAAAAAGAATAAAAATAAAAAAAGAGAGGGTAAAATCGAGGCGCATGCAAAGCCGTCATCATGGTGTTCTCTTTGTCCCACGAAAACCCCCCATGCCTCCCTTTCCTTCTTTTTTATGCCCCTCCTTTTTCACATATTTACCTCCAATGCCATCCACCCAAACCACACAAACAATGTGTTTGTCATGGATCATGATATTGTGTGTATAAAGACGTTAGAAACACTATCAACTTATCCATTCATCATCTAAATATAAAAACTAAAATTAAATAAATTATAATTCCTTTTTTGGTAATGAATATTTGACATTTCTTATATTTTAAATAAAAATCTAGAAGATTCAAAAGGTAAATATCATAAATTATCAACCAGATACTAATTCTTTTGTTATAATTCATAATTTACCTTTTTAACATAAAATAATTTAGTATCTGAAAATTACTGATTTAGTTAAATGGGATTGAATCAACCACAACTCTGAATGATCTGGTTATATTTGATTTATCTCTAAATCTAATTGAATAA